CGACTGACACACACGCTCGTGTCGAGCTGCACACTAAGAGTAAGACAATCACTGTACCTAAAGATCACTTGAGCTTCAAGGATAGAATCACAGGAGCCAAGATTGAAATCAACGGTCGTGGAGGTCGTGGTGGACACAGTGGTCCTCCAGGTGGTGGCCGTGGAGGACATGGAGGAGACTGGCAAGGAGGCCGAACCCCCGTTGCCTCTGGCGGCCCAGAGAGAACTCCGGCATGGGGCTCAAGGAGTAAGTCAGCCCTCAAATTCGCCATTCCCTTGAACACGGATGCTAACGAACACAAGCTCCTGCACCTACCGGTGGTCGCACGCCTGCTTGGAAGTCAAGTGGCCCAGATTACGGCGGATCGCGTACCCCAGCCTGGGCCGATGGCTCTCGAACTGCTTACGGAGATGGCAACCGCACCGCGTATGGCGGAGGTTCAAGAACCCCTGCGTGGCAATCAGGCGCAAAGACACCAGCACATGACGCCTTTGGCCTTGGTTCGAAGACGCCGGCGTACGGAGGCGGAGATGCCTGGGGCTCTGGATCCAAGACACCTGCTTATGGCTCTGCGCCTACACCCGGCGCTAGCGGAGGCGACTCATGGGGCTACACACCCGGCAACTCTTACGACGCACCGACGCCCGGTGGCGCTCTTCTGAGTGCACCAACACCCGGAGCTCTCAATGCCCCTACTCCTGGTGCCTACTCGGCGCCTACGCCAGGTGCCGCAAGTGCCCCAACTCCAGGCGGCGGATGGCAAGGTGGGTGGGGAGCAGACTCGGCGCCCACACCGGCTGCTGGTGCTCCTACTCCGGCCGCCAGTGGCTTCAACTCCTCATCAGCCTACTACGGTGCGCCGACTCCCGCGGCTTATGGCGCACCCGAGACTCCAGCGGCCAGCGGACCCAGATATACCGACGATGACTAGATGCCAAGGGTGTTGATCTGAGAGGAGACCGTCGGAGTCTTCTAGCTGGCTTGTGCATTTGTTGATGGGAGGCAAGGCAAGGTTGTACATTATCCGGCGTTTGTGTAGAAAAGGAAGATGCGCCCAAAGTCGTGCGCGTTAGTAACAGGAAACATACCATCTTTCACTTACCCGAGTTCGAATCTGGGTGAAATCATATCCTGTAAAGGGCGTAACTCATTGCTTCTGAATCTTTGTTTTCCAAATCAACGAGTAGTACAGTTTCAGTCGTGTCCAGTTAGGGATGTTGTGTTACCCATTGATCATATTGAGTGCCCATCATGCTGTTCCCTTTCCAAGTATTTGCAGCTTGTTCGTCTGCCCTACTCACTCAGTTCACTAGATTTTACATTACTGGTGCACAGAACTTTGCTGCTTCAGAGATTCCACCACCGTAGGTCAGCGTACCTACTTTACTCGTAAGATATGTCCTCGATTGGCCATCACCGATCTACTCTGGATAGCTCTTGCTACTAGTTGTAGTAGTGTGCGTCACAGCTTACTGCTAGCTCATAATGTTGCAGTTTAACACGAGTTGTTTGTGGCATACGAAGGGACGTGGAGATTTTTGCAATATCATCTCAATTTGGGTTATATACTACGCGCCGACACTAACTCTCTACGGCCGCATTCGAGCTCTTAAAGAAGAAGAAGACGACGAATAAAAGTGAACAGAAGAAAACACCGCCAAATCACCTTGGGTTGTTGAAAAACCTTATCGTTGGCGTGAACGCCGAGTAAAAGAATAAACCAAGAACAAACCGATAATTATGAACAACAGGCTTCGCTTCGTGAATCCGCAATACGCCTCCGCTGCTTCAGGTATACTCGACGCGTGTCAAAACTCCCGCAGCCATCGATAAACTCTCTTCTCTTATCTTTCTTCACCTCTTTTTGCTGCCATTTACTCACTCGGCCTTCTTCTCCACATCGTACACCGATTTGCTACTTAGCCACGACCATGGCCTTGTTGGCACAATCAGAGCAAATCTTCAGACGATGCCACGCGTTGGCCAAGTTTCCTCGCTGATTGTAAATTGCTGCGTAGCTCTCGGGTTGCGAGTTGTACGCCTCGTCCGTGGCCTTGACGAGCAGGGTAGTGCACTTCTTAGTCCCTTCACCTGGCTCGCCAAGCGGGATTGCGCCGTCATACCTCCAGCGTTTCCATGCCCAGGACTTGTGCCCGGTTTTTGGCGGGGCTCCAGGCTCGTCGAGTAACTCGGCTTGGTCCCAAGTCTTGCCATTGTCTACGCTCACATCGACACGTACGATTCGGCGACCGCCACCAGAATACGCGTAGCCCATGAGAGACGCTTCGCGGACGCTACCGGTATCCTCGTTTGCCGCTAACTCATTCGTTGTTGCTTTCCAGTCACCTAATCTGACAGTGGTAATGGCGCTGGTGATGGGCATCTCCTGAATCGGTGCAGCGCGGTCCCAGTCGGGGCTTGTCTCGTTGGGGCCAAAGCACTTGTAATCTTTGCGCTGCCATTGGCTATGACTTTCTTCATCAGAAATGGTGATCTGGCTCAACCACTTGACGGAACGGGCAGCGACGTGGCCTGGCACCAGAGCACGGAGCGGGTACCCGTGGTCCCGCGGCAGCGGCTTGCCATTCATCGAGTAAGCCAACAGAACATCACCACGCGGGTCCAGAGCAGATTCGATGGGAATTGACGCGCCGTAGGCTTCGAGAGCCATGAACTGAACGTGCTTGGCCTCCGTATCTCCAGTCATGGCCTCGAGTATAGGAATACCGGCATCAGCTAGTACGTCGGTGAGCTTCACGCCCTGCCATTCCGCACAAGAGATGGCGCCAACATTCCACTGGAGTCCGTTGGTCTTCTTTGCGTTGCGGGTCATGTCGCTTCGGCGGTTTCCAGAACACTGCAAGACAGCCACAACAGTAGTAGGCTTGAACTTGGTCTTTAGGTCATCAAGGGTGTACTCCTTGATAGTGCCATCAAGGAGCTCAATCTTGAGGGTGTAGTCCGAGGTATCATCGACCTGTGGAACCCACATATGGTTGCGCACGTAAAAGAGTTCATTGGGGGTGAGGTAGCTGTCCGCCAGGCCTTCGACGGGCGTCTCTGCATTGCGAGGCTTGGGAGTGAGGGTGATGAGTCTCTCGTCACGGGTAGGATCGTGCTTGAAGGGGTCTTCTATTTCCTGAGCAGCGGGCTTCCCGTCGACAAGGTCGTCTAAGTCGATGAAGCCAATCAAGTACTGTTGGAGGATTTCATAAACGTGGGGCGACTTGTGAATGGTGAAGATGTTCCAGTAGGGATCAATGCTACCTCCAGCGGCACGGAGAATGACATCACCTCCGGGGTGTGCTGCAACCCAGTCGGTAATGTCATAGACCTTGTCGCCTTGGGTAACCCATGGGCTGCCGGATTTGGCATCATGTTTTCGGATTTCGGAGAGCCTGAAGCGAGGGATAGACGGGTCGCGGTCATCGGTAGACGGGGCCGGGTCGGAGGCATCTACTTCGTCCTGAGTGGGCACATGGAAGGGCTCCGAGAGGCCGACGAAGAGAGACAAGAGCCCGCCGCTAGCAAGCAATGTACTGACGGTGGCCGGACCCTTGCGACGGCGTGGGTGCTGGGGCTCACGTTCGTTCTCGCGCTCTCCTGGCCGGGTACCGGCAGTCTGGTGTTTCTGGGTATGTTCCTGTCCCCCGGGCAAGGGCGCCGAGGAGGAGGAAGAGGAGGAGGCGGCTGTCGGTCGGGGGTGTCTCGAGCAGGCAGAGGCGTGTAGAGGACGAGATCCTGGAGGAGAAGGAGGAGCGTCAGGGATGTAGCTCGCTCGCCATGCTCCAAGAGTCGGACGAAGAGGGACGGGCCGCCTGGTCGAGAGCTGTAAGAGCTCGCTAAATAGACGCCGCGGCGCTTGCATTGGATTTGGATCGAGGTGAATGGCTAGACTGGGCGTGATGGGCTTCGTTTGGTGGTAGACGACGTCGAGAGCGCGGCTCTGGTGTGGAGCTTGGACGATGAGGTGACTGACCGGGGCGATGGCGTGATTGCGCCTCGATGGCCTTTTGGCTGTTTTGAGAGGAGGGAAAAACTCGAAAGTGGGTCTGCACAATTATGTGTGGCACGTGTGTGTCTGCACAAAACAAGGTAATGATACCTTTGTACCTTGCAAATGTCGTTATGCAGATGATACGTGCCTCTCACCGGCGACCACAAACGTCGCCGACCGAGGGATCCACCTTTGGTTCTTGTTCCTTAGGTAAGCAGACTTTTTGGCCAGACGACTGTGAATGGGACCAGTTCTAGGAAGAAGACATCAGATCTGGACACGCTGGGCACGACATGGGGGTTCTTTCGCTTTTACATGTCTCAAACCATTGCTTCTCAATGAACATCGAAGGCATTGGCGTCCCACATGTCCCGGACCACATCAAGGGCACGTTATCAGACTTCCAGCCACCAATAAACTCGAAACCATCAGAATCCGTGTGTCATGGTGCTTCAAGTGGCCGAACGAGACCGATGAAAGCCGCGAAACCGCCCACGTGGACCCCGAACACCGTCACAGCCCGGCCCGGATACGTCTCAACGTCCATCCTTGGCCCTGTTAGTCGCCGACGTCATGGAGACGGCAGTCACCTTTAGACTATAGTTCACCTACTCTCAGCTTGCAGTCCTCCCGCTGCGACTATCTGCTTCTTGAATCCTGCACGTGTCCGGTATACACTACAGCCCTTGCTTCCCCGCAACTTTAAGTGATCCTCATTTGGCATGTATCCCGGATCATTGGCGACTAACCGACCATCCAGCTTCTTGATATGTAGGCTAATCATGGATAGGCCAATTGTTAATGGGGCAACTGAGTGGACTACCAATCATTCCAAGCATGTTACTCAACGGAGCCATCGGAACTGTTTAGTAGATGAAGCTATTCTCACATTATGTACTCAGCAAAAGAGCTCAACAACATAAGCTCTGTTGTAGCTAACAATATTTACTTCAAGCTCCCATCATATCTCTCACTCACACTTACTTCACCACTCACCACCCTGTCATCGCCCCTGAGAACTCGCGCCCACCTTGGCCTTCTTAGTATGCCTCTCCTGCGTCTTAGCCTTGCCCCTCTTGCTGCCTTGTCCTGATGACTCCCCAGTCTCGCGCTTCCGCTTTGCCCCAGAAGATCCACCAAAGGCACCAGCTCCATCATCCCCGCTCTCCGATACCAGCTCCCTGTCGCTAGTCTGGCTCAGATCGTCCTCTTCCCCACGGTCTCGGTATGTCGGGTCGTGGGTGAGAGATCCACGATACGGCTTCCGCTTCTGCTTAACCCGGTTCCCGGAGCCGCCTTGGTCATCGTCGTCGTCCTCCTCTTCATCGTCGTTGTCTTCGCCATCTGCGCCGGCCCTTCTCTCCACCTCTTCATCCTCTTCCTCGTTTTCATCGTCATCCTCGGCTTCATCATTCTCTGGGTGGTAATTCCGCAAGCCGTCATCCTCATTTCGGGGCCGAAAACGCAATCCCCAGTTCTCTTCGTTCTTGGGATGATTCGGATCTCGTGTCCACAAATTCCTCATATCCGTGAATCTGTTATCGGTGGGGTATATGGTCATCTTCAACTCCGGGTTGTTTTTGACAAAGGCTTTTCTGAGTTTGGTCACACCGCCCGCTTTGATGATATCTTTTTGCGTGATCCAACCGACTTTGCTTGCCAATATGGCCTTGTCTTCACGGTCAAGTTGTACTCGACCTTGTCTCGCTGGAATTCGGCAGCTACGTCTCGGATCCGAGTGTGCCTAAAGGTGATGAGTTAGCTCTGTATACCTCAGAATTCTATAGTACTCACGTCTATCTGCGCTTGTTTCGAAGGTTCGCCTTTCAGGCTACTCTTGGGAATCGGACGCAAACACCGTGAACAGTACATGTCGTCAGCCGGCACAAACTTAGCCGCGGGCGTACTGCCGTCTGGCTGTGGCGTTTCCTTGACACTATTGGATTCCGTAGTTACTATTTCAGAATCTTTAGGAGGGTTCTTTATCGGGCCCTTCGGACCCTTTGGCGGCTTCTCCCCTCGACAAGATCCATCCTCCAAAGCGGTGGCTGTGTACGGTTTGGAACCTGTAGGCGGAGGTGAGAGAATCGGCCCAGGCTCATTAGGTCGGCCGCCTCGATGGCCTTTGCGAACTGCACTCCCGGGTTTTGGTCCTCTTGCTGTACTATTCTTGGGGCCGGGTACCTCCTGCCGAACGTCGTGGGACTCTGGGTCATTCTCTTGATCTCCACTGGGCTGGACACTGGGACCTGTTCCTGTCTGCGTCTCGTCTGTCGCAACTGGCCCCGATCCCCTGTCTCGTATATCTTTGGGCGCTGTCAGACCTGGGATTGGATTCTTTCCCTCGCGAATTCTCTGCTGTCTCCTTTCTTCGCGAGCAGCCGCGATTTCAGCGTCCATGTCTCGGACAACCTTTGCCTCAAGGGGCTCAATAGCGTGCGCCTTCTTCAAATGCTCGTTCCACTGGAGTTGGTTCATGAAGCCCACCATGGCGCCACACTGGTCAAAGTGCGGACAGCGTTTGTCACGCCGATCCAATGCGCTCTCGTTCTCGGGATCCCAAAGACTGTGGCCCGGGTTGAAGGGTTCCTGGTTGACCATGGCAGGAGGCCGAGTACTGCCAGTCAAAATGTCCCAAAGTTGATAGACGTGACACTCCATGTGGGAGACCTGGTCTTTCCTATCCTCCCACTCTCCGAGCTCCGGTTGCTTCTCGCGATCTTCCTTGGGCCTCTTGAACGAGAGATGGCAGAGCGGACACTGTTTCAGGGGTTCCTCAAAATGCTTCTTCTCAAAGTGTCCTAGAACCTCGGACGGCGTCAGGCCGAAAAGAGGTTCCCGACACCCGGCGGCAGGACACTCAGAAGGCGGATCCGACATAGGAATTGGTCCCGGCTTATCATGCCACATGAGAGGGTGGCCGAGATAGCGACTAGAAGCGCGAGGACGACGCTGTTGTTTGAACAAGGCCGCGGAGGTCTCCGCGGCCCCCACGAAGAGAGGGTCGACCGACTTGTCAGTGTCTTTCCAGAAGACTTCTGAATAGATGTCCCACGGTGTTGGCTTGGCGCCCTCTTGTTTAGGGCAAGCCGTAATGTGATTTTTGATGTCACCAATAGGCTCTTGGGTTCCATCGCTTACAAAGGATTTCTGGCAGTACGGACAGAAACAACCCAGGGTGCCATAGAAGCCTCCACAGAACTTGCGATGCCTGTCGATTTTCTCGTCGGAGAATTTCTTCATCGAGAATCCGCACTTGGTGCAATGCGGCTTGTTTTCGTGGAGAGTGCCGTGGCACTTGTGTGGATAAGTGTCAAAAGGTGCAAAATTTGTGGCATCTTTCTCAGTCTTCCACTCACGGTCTCCGCAAAGTTTGCAGAATGTACATCGCCCAGCTCCCTCAGCCAAGGGGACGCAAACACGATCATGATGCTTTCGGTCCTCATAGCTCTTGAGTTCTTTGTGGTCACGACCGCAACGATCACAGTATCGATAGCCTTTCTCCCTGTCGCTAGCTTTCGCTGGCTGTCCTGGCTGGGGCAACGGGCCAATTGGAGGTCTGGTTTGGTCGGTGATTCTAAATGTTGAAAGAGATGTAGTTGGCCCCGCAGGGCTATTGCGTAGCTTTTCGGGGGCGGCCTTTTGGTTTGAAGGCGGATGCGACTTGGGTCTCTCGGGAAGCTGAAGCACCTTTCGCAGCTGGTCTGCATGGGAATTTCTGTAATGTTCTTCCTTCTGCTTATAGGACCAGTGCTTGAAGAGCTGGGTATCACACCACGGGCATTTCTCCTCGGCATGAGTCTTCTCCAGATGCACCAGAAGCGTCTCGTCCTCATCTTGGCGATATGTGAACCGGCATTTCTGGTACGGACACTCAGCGAGCCGAGCCAGGTTGACTTTGGAGAGACTCCAGACTTTATCCTGTAGTTCCCGCTGCTCACTGGGCGTGAGAACGTTCTTGGTAATCATAGGGACGCGGCCCGCCCCGGTCCTCAGAACGGCCTCCACGGGCGGTGCGTTGAACGGAAAGGAGGGGTTCCAGACACCCATGTCGAAGATACTTGGCTGTCGCACATAACTTCGCTCACGGGGTGTCTGGTCAGGCTCTCTCGGCATAGGGCGAGCTGATTTCCGAGGGGCAGGAGGCGGCGTCTTCTGTTCATGGAAAACCACGGGACGGAGCTTGCCAGGGGGAACGATTGCTGGCAGGGATAACTCCTTTCGAAAGGGTGCCACTTCGCCATACCGAGGACCCCAGTAATTATTTGCCTCCGTTGCTTTAGCCAGTGTTTTGACTACACGCATCTCATATTAGTTGCGATCTCAGGGAATACTCAAGAAGCATTGTTTCTCACCAAAGTCCAACTCGTCGTCTTGCGAGACGTCTGCTCGCACCACCTGAGTTAGGATGAACCGCCGGGCCATGGCTGCCTCGGAGTCGGTGGCGGCCGGCCGAAGAACGAAGCTGGCCGGGCTCCAACTCCCTTCAATTGTTTCTTCGTCGAAAAGAGGCTCCATGACAACGCTGTCCTTCTCAGAGTCGTAGGCGATCTCTTCGTCTCCAGTATACAGGAGTTCCAGCGTAGATTTCAACGCTTTCATAGTAAGAGGCTCCATACTGAAATTTGCCTGACCTGTTCGTCCTTCAACCGCCTCAATCATGCATGGATCTTCAGCATCGTCCATTGGCTGGATCACGAAGAACTGACAGGGCTCATTCTTGTCGTCGACAGAGCGGGCAATGAGTTTTGACAGCGCCTTCTGGACTTGTTTCGAAGAATCTTTGTTCCGATGATTCCATCGAACTGGGCTGTAGGCTCCAACAGGGCAACTGATTGATGGGTTGAAATAGTCGACTCCGCGCCAAATCAGGTAGTGAGAGGCTTCCATGGGCGTTTTGACGCTTTTCGTCATTAGGTTAACCTTTTGCAGGGCATCGGGATATGGGTCTTCAGAGCCTGTTCGTCGAAGGCACTCTCGGTTCTTGAGAGTTCTGGCGTTGTTCGAGTTTCCCGGCAGGTAGAACACAACGGTATCGTTGGCCACGGGGTGAGTTGTAACTCTGAAAGCTTGACCCTTGCTGATTAGAGGATGCATGCTATCCCAGAGATCGCGGTGTATTTCCAGACCACCATACCACGGTGGTGATGATCCTTCTGGCTCTTCATCACGTGAAATGACAAGATCACAGTGACTTCCTCCTGGCCGATCCGGTCTTCCCACCAATACTTCTTGTGCCGTCGTGATAAAGGGCATGTATTGATTGGAACCCCAGGGTTTATTGGCAGGGTAAATGTAGCCCACTTGCTTGGGGCCAAAGAAGCTTTTGTCGTCGGGCACTTTGAGATACGAGAGGTTTTCTCGCCCGTCGTCGTCAACATAAGTCAATTTGATGAGCGTGGTTAAGAAGAAGGCCTCTGGAGGCTCCCATTCAGAGGGAAGTTCTTCGCCTCTGCGAAGCACGAACCAGGCCGAGCTGGATGCGGACTTGGCTGCCTGGCTCAGGTGTTCCGCAAGATCACTAACGGGGTTGAGCGGAATGTTGTCATCGAATTGCCGCATGACCTTCGCCGTCTTGAGATCAAATTCAACGAGTACGATGTCGCTTTGCTCCCGTTGGCGCAGGGACAAGAGCTTCCTCGCAGCCCCCTGAAACGTGGACATGTCGTCCGTATCGAACATGATTCTGCCTTGGAATCCAAACAGAGGAACCCATCCATGTACTTTGTCCGATTCTGGTGATGGTTGCCCGGTTTCAGAGGTCACTGCCGACTGCTTTTGACGTTGCCTCGAGTCAGGCGTGGAAGTGTCTCTTCCTGAGATGGCTTTGTTTGATATGCCCGACACAGGCATCGTCACGATCTCACTGCTGGAGCCGTCACCCAAGGAATCGCCGTCTTCGTTTGCCATAACCATGGCAGTCTCCGATGGGCCAAGGCTTCTGTCTAAACCATCATCTGGCGGATAGTCCATATCTACCATCAAGGCATCGTCATCGTCGCCCCCTCCTCTAAGGCTTAGCCCTTCACCAGTGGCGTCTGGCATTTGAGCAGCTGCCACAGGGATGGTGCTGAATTGTTCCTCTTTTCCTTTTCTTCGTCTTAGCTTGACTGAGTGTGCTTGGATAGCAGTTACTAACCTCTCATGTAGTCGTATCCGAAATTTCTCTGGTCGTGGGCTGTCAGAAAGTGCAGGGGAGGGCGGACCTCGGCAGTGCAGAGTTCATCCCAGTCGTCCACATCAAAATCCGGCTTCGAAAAGCGCGTCAGCTCAGTCAAAATTGGCTCGACAGGCAGTCCGAAGTAGAGCATCGTGAATTTCGTTGCCAGTGAGGGGCGACATTCTTTAAATCTATTGCCAATCAAGCTTTCGTATCGTCGGGCGTTGTCTTCTTGACAATCCCTCAACCTGCGAGGCTCCGTAGCTGGCATAAAAAGCTTCCGCTCATGGGATGTAAAGTAAACCTCCAAGACTTGTCCCGTGCGCGTGGTAGGAAAGCTGAGAAGATCTTTGAAGTGGCCATGGATGTTATTCCAGTCCTCATCGGTTGGTCTAATGAGAGGATTGTACCTTTGCTGGGGGTCGTTTATTTTTTTGGTGGGTTCAGACATGCCGAGATGAACGGGAAAATGGAGTTTTACAAGCCTGAAGTCCGAGTTAATAGACAGTGTACGAGTCAAAGGCAGAGCAGAGAAGGAATAGAAAGAGTGGTGAGTTGAGCAAAGGTTGAGAAGAAAAGTGTTCTGTGTCGACCAAGAAGCTTTGCAAAAAGACGTCTCAATTATCAACGAACGAGTTTATTCAGAGGGATGAAGCATGCTTCATCATTGATGGAATCAAGGTGTGAATGGCATTCCGAAATAGCCAAAGCCTTTGACAAGATCAATATGTCTGCATTGACAAATTTGGCAAACTGATACCCATTGTCCATTGTCTGTCAAAGTTTCGTCAGGATCATGATCACCGGTGAAAGATCGAAGCGAGACATCTTTGTTCGCACTGGACATCCCTTGCGAACGTACATGGGCCAGGAGAGGTAGGAAGCAAACTTTTTCACGCTTCTTATGCCTTGACCCGGCAGCTGAGACATGATGTATGTCAGTTGATGCCGACGTCTGTGAGTAGGCACCTGGACAGAGACGTCGAAGTGAATGGGACCCCCCCGGACCATCTCTAGAAGCTTCGGAAATGCCATTGAAGATTTGATGAACCCTGACAATGGTTGCACAGCTTAATCTAAGAAGCGAGAAACAAAGAAAACCCGATTTTCAATGATGCCATTATTCTTTACGTCGATTTCAAAACGATGAACGGAACTTTGAAGAGCTGGTTCTTTTCCAAAATCAAAATCAAAAAGACACATCAAATGTCAGACAATTCTCCACATCTGAATACAGACATTGGGCTGTAAGAACCTCTTCAGGCTCAGGCCTAGTTTCGATATTGATATCGAGGTCGGGTTCGAGGTCTCTGGACTTGCCCCCCTCCGTCTTTTATAGTGTCTTCCTGGCTGTTTTGTACACCAGAGGCGATATGGAAACATCTGCAGCAGTGGGAAACATTGATGGACAAGAAGCAGGAAAAGAGCGCATTGGTCACACGGAACCCTGGATTCTTCTCACTCGTGGCTGCTCAAGTAAAGTAAGAAGACAATGTGGGCAGGAATAAGTTCGTCACAGGCATACTGTCACAAGTAGAAGCAGTGACGCGTTGTAGAGAGTGCCAAACAGCAAACGGCCGTGGCTACCAATATTTTAGTATTGACCAACCCCACGAGTGAACGAGATGTCAATCGGGTAACGAGCCCAGAAGTTCAAATCGACGCACCCAAAGCCAGCTATGAAGAAAGGCTCTCCAAAACACGCATCGCCTCAATCCTTGACTCCCAAACGCAGCCACTCTGTTTTTTGGTATCAAACCACCCTAGCTACTTGTGGAAAAGGAAAAAGAAAACAAAAGCAAGTTTTTATGATACGTCCGTACAAATAAATATTACACAAATTCACGGCTTTTGCGCGCTAGGACGCGGACGTTGTCGACGAATGCCTCGACAAGTTGCTGGTATTGATGCGGCTCGTTCCTCATGGCGCGGCGTTGTTGATCGATGACGATTTCGGGTGACAGCTCTATTTCCAGTTCGTGTTCCTTGCTCATCTGTGAGGTATTCTTTTGTCTTGTTAGCAAAGTCCAGGGGCTACACTTTCAAGCAAGCGTTCACTTACTCCAGGACCAGGCATCATCTGCGTCACTTGGGTCAAGTCGATCTGGTAGTGATTTTGCTTGTAACTGAGACGGTCCTTGTTCCGGTCAGGGAACTTGTCTGCATGACCGACAGCCACGCTTTCCAATTCCTCAACGGAACCATCCCATGCCATTTCGAGATTGATGCTAAGGCGGCAGTCGAGTGGGCATGTGGGAAGATGTAGGTGGATATCTGCCACCCGGGCCTTGACAATCTTGGCCAGGACCTGCTGCGTCTTTTGGTCATATGTGACTCGGACCTTGATTGAACGCCTATTACCCAGTAGGGAACGGACGCAACCAGGCAGACGGGCCTGCAGAGCATTTGGCAGCTCGTAGAACTTATCAATCTCTCGTCGGTGTTTGTATTGTACTTGTACTCGGCCGCGTGCGTTGGGGTTTCGGGGATCGGTCTGCACAACCATGGTGTTGAGGAATTCGTTGAGACCTTTGTGCTGAGCCTGCAGAAAAAACAATGGGATTAGCTCTTGTGATTCTTTCCCCATAAAGATCGGTAAACAAACCTCAGTCATGCTGCTTCTGAAAGCCAGACGCCCGGTATCGTGCAGAACACATTCCGAACCTATAGCTCTCTCGACACGATCATTGGTGTCTCTGTCGATGAGCTGTCCCATCTTAGCCTCGATTTCGAACTGCACGCCACGTCCTATTATCTCCCCACTATCAGGATGGAGCGTGACGTTCTTGAATAAGAAATCGGCGATCGTCTTAGACAGCTCTTCGTAAGGTCGAGTACCGAGGATGCTTTCCTCCCAAGGACCAAGCAGACTTTCGGCCTTGGGCGGCGGCGGCGGCGGCTGCGGCGGTTCTTGGACTGGAGGAGCCGTGGATCGCGCTGCCTCTGGTGAGGTGTGGCGGCTGGTGCTGTCCTGCTTGACAGACTCGGATTTGCCATTGATGTGCGGCGGCCCTCGTTTCTGGAGCTCAAAATTGGCCAGCTTGAGCCTCTTATTTTCTCGAGCATTCCAAGTCTGAGCCCAAACGGGTGGTGTCGCGTGGATCTTTCTCTTCCGTTGCATCACTGGTGACCTAGAGATGGCAAGTCCGCCATTGAGCTCGGCAGGCGGCGGCCGTGGCTCCTTCCGTTCCAATTCTCTGGGACTCAAGTCTCGATCGGCAAGTTTTCTCTTGGCGGGTGTCGCAGCGCGTTCGCGTTCAGGTTCCACCATGTTGGTGACGCTTGGGTGTGGTCGCACTTCGGGTTCTGTCTGCCCACCAATGCTGCTCGGCAAACTCGGTATTCTGGTCTTTGGACTGACGCTAATACTTCGGTCGCGTTCACTATGTGATAATGATCTTCGTTCGTGGGTGCTGTGGGAGGAACTTGGCATGCGAACTGGTGGAGGTGGTGGTGGAGGTGTGGCTTGGGCAAGGTGTGAGGCGGACAGTCTCTGTTGATACGGGCTTTGTGGTTGTGTAAAGCTTGGTGCAGTGGAAGATTGTCGAGGCCCGGTCTGGGGCGGGCCCAGTGGGGTCGGAGGCTGCGAGAGCTGCCGGTTGAAATCGGGCGGCGGATGCGCCGTCGCCACAGGACTGCCGTGAAGAGGATATGGCTGGCCGGGATGCTGCGGGTGCTGACTATGAGCAGATGTAGGTGTAGGAGTTGAATGGTTTGATTGTGAGCGCTGATGGAGATATGGGTGTCCGCTAACAGGGGTCCCAATGGGCGGTGTTTGAGGCATATGCTGCTGCGGTGGCGGCGGTTGCTGCTGTTGAGCGTATTGAGGCACCGTTGCACCAGATGGATGAGGATAGCCGTCTCTCGGGGGGAACGCGTTGGATGGCGGATATTGTTGGTGTCGTTGCACAGGGCTCGCAGCTTCCTGAGGCGGACCGGTCGGTGGGAAGGGGTAACCTCCACTAGGACCGCTCACGGAAGATGTCGGCGTATGACGATACGGAGACGGGCCTGGCATGGATGCACTCTGGGGTGATCGCGCATCGGCATAAGGGGCAGGAGCACCAGCTTGAAGGGGCGGCGGCGCTGGCCGGCCGGGATACGGGCCTGGAGTCTGATAAGGCGACTGCGGAGGATACGACGGGGTCGAGGCCTGAGGATGTACGGCATATTCCTGAGGTGCTGGCGGTTTGCCAGGTGATGAATGCAATGCGTGACTGTACGCCGATTCTCTAAAGGCATAGGCCGTCGTAGCCTGGGAAGGTGTCGTGGGGGCCTGTTGCTGGTACGGTGGCTGGGGCGGCGGTTGTTGCTGTTGTTGTTGGTGCTGCTGCTGCTGCTGTTGCGGATGATGCTGATGCTTCGGCGCGAGATGCTGAGGAGGTGCATGAGGATGCTGATGACCATGGGCGTGAGCATGAGCAGGATAGCCCGGAGGAGGGCCACCAGCGGCGACGGCAGCGGCAGCTGCAGCAGCAGCAGCAGCACGCGGCCTCTCCCCCCCATCATCGGACGTGTTCATCAAACTCCTTAAATCCATTGTGTGTAGCGTAGGCAAGGCGTGCCGTGCGTGTTGTGAGCTAGAATCCCTTGCTCGTGTTTCTTTGTCTGGACCAGCGCTCCGCCCAGCTTCAGCTCAGATGCACAAGATTCGGCTTCGGCCTCTCAAACACGGCGGTTCATGTGTGCGACGAGAAAAACAGTTGGAAAAAAAAAGGAGGGACGTGATGGCAATCGGATGATATTTGCGAATTCAGCGCGATTCTAACGAGACGGGATGGATGCGCAAGAGGCATTCATCACGCCGTCGTAATACAGTGGTGGGTCAGGTCGAGAAGATGGCAGAGGTCGGTATCGGGTTCGTCGTGTATGTCGGGATTCGGAGAAACGAGAAGGACTGGAGGTCAGAGATAGCTCCCACCAAGGGCAGCAAGACATGCGCTGAATGTAGAGAGCGACGCTGTTCAATGTCCAAGGAGGGACGTGGGAGCGCAAAGGCAGCTCGTTCGAGATCGAGTTCGAGGGCCAGGGCGAGGTTGGGGGAAGAGGGGTCGTTTGTCGTTTGCTTGAATCGGCGTGGATTTGTGATCTGTGGCAATTATCGAAGACGGCGGACTGGCAGTGTGGTAGAAATGGTCGTCGCGAGTTGGTCTTCGTAATCGCAAGGAATCGGGCGGAGGATTTGAACGATGTAGACGGCACGTGGTTGGAGGGAGCTGAGACGAGCTATGTGGGTGGATGCGATTGAAGATGCGCGCTTGGGAGTGGGTTGGAGAGGGCGTCGCAAAGTGCGAATGGGAGCTCTGGTGTTTTGAGTGGCCGGGTACGGGCACGGGTGCGTGTGCGTGTGCGTGTGCAGCCTTGTTGCTTCGATGCGCTCTGGGTTGAGGTGGTGGTGGTGGTGTTGTGCAGAGACGAAGCGGGCGGATTGAAGATGGGGAAAGATATCTCAGCAAGAAAACATCTTGTCCTCTCCTGTTAGGCTGGAACTTGGCGTTGCGGCACTGGCTCAGAGAAGTACCTAAGCACTGTAACAGGACTTTGAGCCTTGAGGTACCTACCTAGGCCGTAAGGCAGGTCGGCAATGTACCTTGCGGTAAGGTGTAAAGTGAGGTAAAGGTGAGGTACCGGTAGCGTGCCCTGGCGAGAGCGAGCAAGAGACAGAGAGAGAGAGAAAGAGAGAAGGGAACAGAGAGAAAGAGGAAGCGTGTGTGTGAGACAGAAGGCGACAGGCGTGTGGGAAATTTGGAGACGAAAAGAAAGGATTGAAAATGGATTGGTCGCGCGCCGATCGCAGGTCAGGCTGGGCCCCAGTGAGGTGGTCTGGCTCTCTGCTCTGCTCTGGCACTGAGAACGGGCTCACTCCACGTAGCTTGCTCAAGGCACCTTGGTATAAGAGTTAGTCAGGGCATACCTTGGACAAGGCAGGTAGACAAGCATTGATAGAAGAATGAGTGGTAATGACGGGATGGATGCAGCCTGGTTCAAGGTAGCATCTGAAGCTGTACCATATCACTTGCAACTATCCGTGAGATGCTACTGGTAGGTACAAGGTATCAATGTGATACTATCTATCTACGTACTAGGTAGGGTAGGTAGGTATCCAAAGCAGACCTTAGGTAAGGTACCTAGGTAGTATAGGCTGGTGGTGAGCTACCTTACCTACCTTACAACCAGTACAGATGGACTGCAAACAAGCAGTGTACCTAAGCAACCTGGCAGACCAGCTGGGAGCTCCCAAACAGAGAGCTTCAATTGAGCTCAATCTGACGGGAGAGCTGTTGGAGCAAATCTAGCACAAGCTGGGCGAGCAAGTGGACAGCCTCGTCAGAAACCACCCGGACCTCATCTAAGTGGCTAGGTACGAGTACGGAGTAATGTAGTGGGTGGTCTAAGACTCCAATCCAAGGTAAGGTAAGTAACGTCTCCAGAATGGAAGGACAGGGCAGCTATTAAATAGTGTACACGACGGAGTATTCGTACATACTCATAAGGCAAAGCCACGGCCACGGTGCGCTGCTTGAGCCTGGCCTCACAACCTGGCCCGGCGACCCTGGGCCATCGACGTGTCGACCTGTCGGGGATTTTTATTTTATTTTCTGTCCTCCCTCCAATCTGGAAATGACAAACTTGTCCTCCCCCCCTGTCTAAATCTTTTGGGCGGTCATGGTGTCGCACTCCCACCCCCGTGCCCCGGCTCCACCTTTCTGTCTTGCTGGAACAGTGGACTCAGGCGGGAGATGAGGTGGCCGTCGGGGGAGAAAGTGATGATCCGTATCCGGGCAGTTGGGGGCTGCGTATCCGTATCTGACCTTACCTAAGCATCTGAGGTATCCACCTAGCTTACCTCAGCATCATACCGGTAGCTCCCGTCTGCAGGGCAGGAACTTGGTGCACGCAAACAGATAGAGAAATCCGGGTGCGGCGTTGACCTTCTTTCTGCTCGCTTAGCTAAGGTATCATTAACTACCTAGGCTTGCTGACTCATCTTTACCTGGCACGCCTGGCCCTCACGCGCCCTCCCGTCCAAAGGAAGGTACGTACCTGGAACGTGAGTCGGCATGGAAGGCGAGGAGGTACGGGTACCTAGGCAGACTTGCCTGACGTGGATGCGTTCCCTTGCCTTACCTTAGCAGTGTAGTGTCGTGCCCTGGGACGGGACACTGGCTGCATTCGCGCCTTTGCTTTCGACGTCCTTCTCTCCATCATCAACGCTTCCTTCGGAGCTCCCATCACCACCAACCCCGAATTCAATTCCATCCCACCACCCCGCCCCGTGCGATACCATCCTATCCATCCCGGCCGCACTTTATTCGAACCCATTTCTGTCGTCCATCATCGTACCCCGCAGCTCTCTTCAGCTCCGTCTTCCTGGCCATCTCTCACAATGCCTGGCCTGGTCTCAGCTACCGGAGTCCTGGGCTTCCTAGCCGATGAGGAGCATGATCTCAAGGTCTTCGCCCTCCAGACTCTCAACGATGATATCGACACTGTCTGGACCGAGGTCGCTGGTGCCCTGAGTCAAATGTGAGCTCTCTTCCTTCCTCGCCACGCTCCGTCTACTCGTCTTGTTTGGATCCTGCTAACCACCTTGATCTAGTGAGGCTCTCTACGAAGACGACTCCTTCCCTCAACGACAGCTCGCCGCCCTCGTTCTCGCAAAGGTTTACTACCACCTCCAGGCCTACAATGAGAGTATGACATTTGCTCTCGCCGCTGGCGATCTCTTTAAGCTCGACGCTCCCGGCGAATTCGAGGATACCATCATTTCAAAGTGCATCGACCAGTACATTGCTGCCTCTTCCGCAAAGCACACTGCTCCTGAGTCACCCCAAAACGATACCTCACTCCCCGCTCTGGCTACTACGTTTGCCAGCGGTGCTGCTGATGGGTCTGCTTTGATCTCTCCCACGACCCCCTTCTCCCAGACGACCCTCCCCTCCAAGTCTCTCCTCTCCCGAGTTTCGACCGACAACACCATTCTCGATCCCACATTCCAACCCGTCAAGGAAGGCCGCTCTGCGTCCATCGCCCCAATCAATGACCAGGCGACTCAGATTGCTCTGCAGCGAATTATCGAGCGCCTGTTCGAGGCTTGCCTCGAGGATGGCAGATATCGCCAGGTCATTGGTATTGCCGTCGAAGCCAAGAACCTAGAGGTTCTGCGCCGTGTCATCAAGCGTGCCGCCGATGACGAGAAGCATTCAAAGTCTAAGTCGTCGGATAGCCAGGGCCCCGCCGAGGAGCTCATGGAGTATGCACTGGGCATCTGCATGGATGTTGTTCAGGAGCGAAGCTTCCGCACTGAGATTCTGCGTTTGATCCTCGACCTTCTCAACGACATTCCGAACCCAGACTACTTCGCCATCGCCAAGTGTGTTGTTTACCTGAGCTCCAACGAGGAGGCTTCGCGCATGCTGAAGCAGCTCATCACGAGCGGCGATCGGAATTCAATCGCCAGTGCCTACCAGATCGCTTTTGATTTGTACGACAATGGCACCCAAGAGTTTTTGGGCAAGATCCTCAGCTCGCTGCCGTCAGGAGAGCCTGCTAAGGCTGCAGAGAGCGACGCCACTGAGGAAGAGCCACTGATCGAGAACCAAGAGTCCTCAGAGGAGGAGTTGTCGGAGGAGCTTTCCAAGGTTTACAAGAACATTCGGTCAATTTTGGACGGCAGCAAGACCATTCAGCTGAACCTCGAATTTCTCTACCGCAACAACCGCACCGACCTGAGCATTCTTAACAAGGTCCGCGATAGCTTGGAGGGTCGCAACTCCATCTTCCACACAGCCGTCACTTTCTGCAACGCTTTCATGAACCAGGGCACCACTAACGACAAGTTTTTCCGCGACAACCTCGAATGGCTCGGCAAGGCTGTCAACTGGTCCAAGTTCACTGCGACCGCAGCTTTGGGTGTCATCCACCGCGGCAACCTTACGCAATCCCGCAAGCTTCTCGAGCCCTACCTTCCTCGCCAGAGCGGCTTGAGCAGCGGCTCCATTTTTAGCCAAGGTGGTGCTCTCTACGCCTACGGTCTTATCCACGCCAACCACGGCGCCGACGCTCTTGACTACCTCAAGACACAGTTCACATCCGCCGAGGAGGAAGTTATCCAGCACGGTGGTGCTTTGGGTCTGGGTATCGCAGGCATGGCAACTGGCTCTGAGGAGATTTTCGACAACTTGCGCACCGTTCTTTTCACCGACTCTGCCCTCAACGGCGAGGCTGTTGGCCTTGCCATGGGTCTCATTATGCTCGGCACCGGCAACGTGCGAGCCTTGGAGGATATGATTACCTACGCCCACGAAACGACTCACGAGAAGATTGTTCGTGGTCTCGCTATTGGCATGGCGTTGATCATGTTTGGCCGCCAAGAAGGTGCCGACGCCATGATTGAGGGCCTGCTCAACGATCCTGATCCTACCTTAAGATATGGCGGTATTATGACTGTTGCTCTCGCCTACTGCGGTACTGGCAGCAACAAGGCTATTCGCAAACTGCTTCATACTGCCGTTAGCGACGTCAACGATGATGTACGCCGTGTCGCCGTCATGAGCTTGGGCTTCATTCTCTTCCGTAAACCCGGCAGCGTCCCTCGTATGGTCGAGTTGCTCTCTGAGTCGTACAACCCTCACGTGCGTTACGGTTCTGCCATGGCGCTGGGCATTTCTTGTGCTGGTACCGGCCTGGACGAGGCCATCGACTTGCTCGAGCCTATGATGAAGGATCCCACCGACTTTGTCCGTCAGGGTGCGCTCATCTCTTTGGCCATGATCATGATCCAGCAGAACGAGGTCATGAATCCCAAGGTCGCTTCCATTCGCAAGACTCTGAAGAAGGTTGTCGGCGATCGCCATGAGGATGCCATGACCAAGTTCGGCGCGTCGCTTGCGCTGGGTATTATCGACGCGGGTGGCCGCAACTGCACCATTGGCCTCCAGACCCAGACTGGAAACCTCAATATGGCCGGCATCGTTGGTATGGCCGTCTTCACTCAGTACTGGTACTGGTTCCCGTTCACCCACTTCCTTTCGCTCGCTTTCTCACCCACCTCCATCATTGGTCTCGACCACGAACTCGAGATTCCCAACTTCAAGTTCCATTGCGCCACCCGTCCCAGCCTGTTCGATTACCCGCCGGAGCAAGAGGTCAAGGCGGAGGAGGGCCCTACCATGGTCGCCACAGCCGTTTTGTCAACAACTGCCCAGGCCAAGCGCAGAGCTCAGAAGAAGGAGCGCGCCCAGCGTCGTGAGAGCATGGACATTGACTCTGCCAAGCCAACGGTGTCCGACAAGATGGACGTGGACGAGAAGAAGGAAGAGAACAAGGAAAAGAAGGACGGTGAAGCTGGGGAGAAAGAGGCGTCTGTTGCTCCCGCCGACACCAAGAAGAAGACAGAGAAGGAGAAGGTTGGTTACGAGATGGAGAACCTGTCGCGCGTGCTTCCGGGCCAGCTTAAGTTCATCAGCTTCCCCGCCGGACGTTACAAGCCGGTCAAGAAGGTAGAGTAGTTCCAACCCCTCGACTGCAAAGTATTTTACTAACTCTCATCAGCCTACCGGAGGACCTCTGCTTCTGCAGGACACACAGCCTGACGAGGAGAAGACGCTCATCGAAGAGAAGTTGAAGAAGGTGACAACAGAAAAGGCCCCAGTGGCCGGCCAAAGCAACGCAGGCGGATCATCTGCGGGCTTGACGCCGCGCCAACAGCAAAACATAATCTCCCAGGCCCTCAGAGCAGGTGCTGGTGGCGATCTTCGCTCGTTGAATGAGCTTAGCGAGCTCCTGGGTCGGCAACGAAGAGGTGATCTCGTAGGCGCCACTGATGAAGGAGGGGCGGCTGCTGCAGCAGGAGTGCTCACGGCGGTGGACGAGGATGGCGAGGGAGACGAAGAGGCGGACGTCCCACGAGAGTTTGAATACTTCACGGACAACGAGGAGGAGGATGACGAGGAGTAGCCATTCCCGCAAGCGAACCACCAGTATTTGTGACTCTGGGTTTGAGACCATAACGGTGTTTAGAGAATAGAATGGGGGGCGGCGTAGAGCTAGTCGACTGCCATTCTGCCAAGACAGTCGGGGGCAAAGAGACTTTGCCAGGCTGTACAATAGTGTAACAATCGAGCTATTCGTAGAGGTTGCTTCTTATATGCGTGTAGACCCCATGAACGCTCCATGCGACAGAGTGAAGGACCGCAGCGAATGTTGGATTGTCTTGACGTATAGAATATGAGGATCATCAAATGATTGTAGCCAGTCTCCTATGGTGACAGTAAGCTTTCGAGGTGTAGCTATGTTTTCGCACATGGCGCTTCGGGTTTCCTAAAGCAACACCTGCAAGCTGTGTTACCAGCAAATGCAGACAACAGCAACGCAGACGACTCGTGGAAACCTTGTGGGGAACCCCACGTTTCCCCTCTTACATTGTCAAGGTGGGAGTCTTGCATAGCCAAACCTACTTGACAGTGACACTGCTTTGCTTGGTACGTTTCCCTTCCGGTTTACGCAGGAAGCAAGCCCGCTTCTTCTGCCGTTAAGGTACAGCCACGCCAACAGCTGGCTGCAAATTTCTGGTGGTCACGCAGAGAGACGTGTTTTAGGTTCGCCTGCATTTCCCCGTATCAGGAGATCAGGAGATCAGGAGCGGTACACGGAACGCTTCCTCACGATCTCTTCTAATGGCAGTACATTGCCCGCAGCCCCTTGTTCGGGGTTCAGGCTTCGTGGACCACACGAAGCTCCTCACTCCCGCAACACCGTGGGGAGAGCAATGCGGGGGGGTGGTGTCCGGTCTTCCTCCGAACTCCCCTTACCTTAGTTAAAATGAGAGACCAAAAGACCCTCCCACCTCAAGGTACTCTTCCGCGTGTTCTAGCCTGCAACCCAAGTGGTCCAAGTCCATAACTGAAGCCGGCGGGAGAAGAGAAATCTCGCCGTAACTAAATGAGTCCTCAACACACCTTCTGCCTCCCCCACGGTTTTTTCTCAACACGTTGTCTCTTTGGGAATATATCCTTTTAAGCCAACTGACTGCCTTGTGTTAGCCTAAGTCGGCATTCTGAATTGCCTTCCAGCTTTGAGAGCTTCCTCCGATTAGCTCTCACTTCGTTATCACCTTGCATTGCCTTGCATTGGTATTGCCCACACGCAGCTATTACCACCCCCATCATGGCACAATCCAACTCCCTGTTGGACACGCTGAGGTCCGAGAGCCAAGTCGACTGTGATACTCTTGACGTTGAAGGCAAGAACCCTCCATCATGACGCCCCAATTTGCTCGGTTCTGACCCTGCTTTAGTTGCCAAAGAGCTGGGTCCCTTTGTCGATCACACCTCTAACCAGGCAATCGCCTATGGCGAGCTCACCAAGACCACCGCAGATGGCAAGCTGTACCACGACCAACTCATACGGGACTCCGTAAAGGATGCTCAGGGCTGGGCCCATGCGGCCTGGCCAGATATTGACCCGATTCTTCTCGCAGTCGAGATTATGGTACCTTGGCTCGGGGAAGCTCTTGACAAAAGTATCCACCATCGCTGACATGTTTGTAGATGGTCAGGCTTTCACTCAAGTTTACCCCGTATCTGACAGGATATTTTCACATCCAGACCAACACGGACTGGTCCTATTCGGTCGAGAAAACTGTCAAGAATGCTGAGAGTATGTTGCCATACATGCCTGCAGCGGTCAAAGCTAACCGCGCTGCTCTGCTTGATAGGAATCGTTGAGACCTTCAAGAAGGTGGAGCCCACTTTCGACGTGAAGCGTGTCTGCATCAAGATTCCGTCCACCTACGAAGGCATTGCTGCTTGCAGAATCCTTGAGAACAAGGGAATTGCAACACTGGCGACGACAATGTTTTGCATGGAGCAAGCGGCCCTGGCTGCCGATGCCGGCTGCACGTACATTGCGCCGTATGTGAACGAACTGAAGGTCCACTTCGTCCCTGGGTAAGGATGATCTCAAATACGGTCAGATACGGCGACCTGAGCATGACTGAATGACTGACGCTTGGGCGCCCTTAGTTACGTGGACGAGAACAAGGCTTTCAACTTCTGCAGACAGGCGCAGACTTACTATGTCGAGACAAAGGCCAAGACCCAGGTCCTGGCAGCTAGTCTGACCACAGTTCCCGAGGTGATGCAGTTGGCCGGCATCCAGCACGTCACCGTCTCGCCGCCGCTGCTCCGGGCTCTTGCGGCAGCGCCGTCCTCAACATGGACGGAGAAGGTCGGTGGCTATTTCGCAGACGGGCCAGACGAGCGCTGGATCAAGGACTTCCAGGCTGCCTTGAAGGACGAGAGCGAGTGGCGGTTTGCTTTCACTCGTAGCGGCAACGGCAGGTATGAGGAGAAGCTTATTCAGGCTATTAATATCTTCTCTGAGAAGCAGCAGAGCCTGGAGGAGCTGGCGCGAAGCTATCTGTAGATGAATACCTGCTACAAGATGGGGTCACCGTTCGCAAGTTAAAAGTGAACCCAACAAACCTCTGTTCTCTTTTGTTTCTCAGTCTTTCTCCCAGGCCAGGATATCAAACACCACCCTATCTACGCCATCACCAATGCCCTTCTCTTCCTGGTGACTGCTGCATGAATGCAGCAAAATCAGTCCCGGCGAAAGGGGACACTGGTGTTTCCCTCATATCGGCATTGGTTTGTCTGGAGTCGTCAAACACCGGACGCCGGGCACGAAGCGCTTCCCTTCCAACCCAGCTCAGATAGACAGTCTCGTGGACCTGTATAAGATCGGGCCCAATTTCCGTCGAGCCCCGGCCGCTACTGTCTGCCTGCTCGAATTCCGGCTTCTTCTCTACTACAAATACTCTATGATCCTTCCTCTCAATATAACGAGCGACAAGAATGAAGCCGATGAACCAAGCAACACCTAGACCGATGATGATCCATGAGACCGTGGGAATCACCCACCAGGGATTCAGCTGCGTAGATAGGTACTTCGAAGGAGGAATCCAGTTGGTGATCACCGGGTAAAGCCCACCGCACATGTAGACGAAAGCGCAAAAGACGGACAATAAGGGACGGAAACGCTTTCCAGTCATCTCGGCCCAAGTACGCGGCAACGGCCGCGGATCTTTCCCAAATGTCGAAGCGTCGTCGTCGTTAAGGGTAGTCGGAGGTCCGCGGAATCGCAAGATGAGGATGCCAAGCCCCAGGAACGTCCCGATGAAGGCATTGATGACATAGGCGCTCAGGGATGTGAGCAGGGTGTAGGCATCTTTTGGGCTCATATTGTAGGTCGCGAATATGAGTATGGTACAGCTGACGAAGTGCAGAAGCAAGGCTCCAACGGGGGTTTTCTCGCTGTGATGCTCTGGCGAAAGCCACTTCAGTCGAAGAATCGATGAAAACCACCCCTTCCTCTGGAACCAGCGCAGTACACGGCCGATGCTCATATCCGTGTTTTGTGCAAAGAACTTGGGCCACGGAAGCATTCCCTGGTCGGTGTAAGTTTTGGTTCTTCCATTACATTATACATGAAGGCTTCACTCACTTCTTTCGCAATCTCCTGCTTAACCCTGGCGGCTGTGTATGTCTGTGAGAATGTTAGCGGCCATGTCAGCAGGCGTACATGGCGTGGATGCTCATGGAGACAATTGACTGACCATGACGATGATGTTGCCTAAAGATGAGATGGCAAGAAAGGCGTTGAAGATCCGGGCCCCGGTGTCGCTCGCTGAGCCAAGTGTCCCAAATGTCAGTTCGAAGAACTTTTGTGCAACATTTTCGTTGATCTGGTCCTCTTTTGGGACAACGACCATCTACCTCAAAGTCAGCAAAGCCTTCTCCCCCACTCCCTATCCTGACTGTAAGGTAGAATCAAGAGCCGAGCATGTGAACTCACATAGCAAATATTCACCGCAAGGTAAAGTGTCACAACGGTGCCAACACCGGCACCCATGGCGACAGGAAACTTTTTCTTCGGCCTACTAATTTCCCCAAGAACGTAGTTGGGCTGCTCGAAGCCAGAGAAGCTGAAAATGATAGCTAGAAATGCTTGAGCGTAGCTGTTGGCATCGTTCGACGCACTTTTGAAAGAATTCTTGGGCGAAGTGTTTTCGCCAAAGACATTCTTGGCACCTGGGAATCCTCCTGCACCAACGACAATCGTCGCTACAATGATGAGAAGCATGATCATGATTTTGATGACGGCGAGGATATTGTTGAGTAAAATTCCCCCGCGTCTCGAGAAAGCATGGATTCCACAAGAGAATGTAGCTACACCAAGGGCGATGCCGCGAACAGAGCCGTTTTCTGGTTCCGATATGCCGGCGGCTTCGAGAAGTCGCATGGCAAAGTGAATGCTGTTACCCGCCATGTTACCCAAAATGATGAAGCTAATGCCAAATATACAAGTCGACAGGAGCAAAGTGTTCTTCCGGTAGGCTGGCTTGCGGAAAACGTATTGTAGATAGACGAGGTCACCACCGCTTCGCGGGACGCTGTGATCGTGCCCATTGATCAGATATCTGGGCACGTTCAAGCCATACTCAATGTACACATGGGTTCCGCAAAGACAGTAGATTATCCCGGCCAACCAGAAGAGTAGCGTTGCACCAACACTTCGAGTGCCTCGCATTACTCTTTGTGGGGACATGAAGATACCGGTTCCTAGATTAACCATCCAATTCAGCGCTCCATTGATCTGTACAGGAAGCTTGACAATGATTACATCCTCATGGTGTTTCTGGTAATGAAGACATGGAACTGTATTAAAGAACGAGGGGAAAGGAGAAATAGTACAGTGGTATCAACGCATGCGCCGCTTGAGAGGGCCACGGGCCGGAGTGAATCGATCATCTCGGTGTTGAGAAAACCTTACATCCATAGGTAAAGAATCAAATTACTTACCAATCATACGGTTGATGACTAGACAGGCTACGTCAAAGTATCCTAGTCGGAAACCCTCTTTTGGAGCATGCGTGACGATGCCATTGCCGTGACTGATAGGGTCGATCACCTCGTTAATATCACTGTGGATTGAAGCCTCTTCGGCACCCCGTGGCTCTTGGTAGAAACCAATGGAACTAGGAAAGTCGTTCATCTTTGAAAATGTGTTGATTTGAAAAGAATGCAAGCTTTGAGTCCGAGCCTTGCGGTCGCTCCGCAGCAGGAGATCAACGCAATATCCGTATCTCTCGCTTTCCCAAGATACATGACAGGCAGGCCTGCCATGGGTGTCTTCACATTATGTATGTATGGCACACTTCCCCTGGCGCACGCGTGTGTGTGTGACGAGCTGCTGGCACTCATGTCGGGCGTAAACTAGAAACAGCACGCAGCTGGGGCGCGCACCACAAAAAGACAAACAGGCAGACTTGGCCATGGGTTGATAGTGGCTCGCATGCATGCCGAGGCAGCCACTATCTAGGACGAGGGCTGGTCGAGTCACTCGTGCCACGACAGCCTCGTCCAGAAATATGCCTCGCAAGGCATATCTGAGGTTTTTCTTTGCGCGCAGCTTGGGAACTTGGACACATGGGATCTCAACAACGTACTACCTTATTACCAAGACTCTGGCAAGCGGGCAATTGTCAAGTTGTACCCGATCTAGTGGATGGGTTAGTCTCAGTATTCGAGCGTTAATAGGTCTGGCGAAGCGAGCACGAATGGGGAAGACTCAAGGTGACACCCCCGTCTGAGTCTTACACCTAGGTTGGCACATTGGCGTGATTGGGAAGTTATCCAACCTGTCAATCTGTTCAGCTCACTGCCACCGCCACATGCATTCCACACATGGGCTGAGTGTCGACCATCGTTTTTAGTCAAGGGTATATAGGCGTATTCACTTAAAAGCCTCGCCCGAAATTCCTCTAAGCATAGTTAAATACTCGCCCTAACTAATGTTCGCTCAGCAAGTTCAAGTTGCTTCCATTTTGCTCTGGGCATGACAGCGGGTGTGATGCAATCAGACATTTCTCTACTGGAGCTTGGCATTGAAAATGTCAGCACCTTTAGATTAAAAGTGTCCGGAACTGAATAACTGGATCATCATCAGGAGGGGAGCAACCAACTGAAAGGACCCCTCAGTTTACGGGGTTGATGACCTTAACAAGGACAAGCTTCTGTCCGATTAGTTCATCCCAAGTACTTCGAGATGTGAGTGACACAGCCGCACAGTTCAGTAGCTTATCTCGCAATCTTCCACCTCCGCCGCAGACATGCATACCTACCAGTAGCTGAGGGTCCAGCCTAGGTCGACGGGATTGGATATCATCGTAGGGGTGTCTCGGGTAACTGAGACCGCGTGACAGCCTTTTCTTCCCCTCCCTTTCTGAACAAGACCCCGAGTTCCATGGGCGGAGGTAATCCGCGCAAGAGAATAGGGTGGGCTTGCTCGTAATGGATGCGTAGGAAGTAATGGGTACATAGCTTCCAGGCCACCTGGGAGTCACTCACTAGATTTGACAAGAGCTGGTATCGCTTGACTAGATAGGGCTGCCAAGAGACGACGACCCAAGTTCGTGCTCGGCTGCTCGGTACTGCCACGGTCGACGCGCGCAGACACACTTCAAGGACGAAAGACAGCCAACTGGGAGGCCAAGCAAGACCAGTTGAGAGAGCCATACGAGCAGGGCAGAGGAGGTCATCTTCCCCTGCTGCCTGCATGGATGCCCACACCATCCTCTCTCTCTCTCTCTCTCTCACTCGGTGTCGATTTAGGTAGAGCTGTCTGGGCTAGTGAACGCAGACTCGGGTTGGTCTGAGATAGCAAGCAGCGTTCCTTGGGGCGGCTCGCTCTCATCTCTGTGACATGCCTGCAGCTTGGTGGCGTCTATGGTCAATCTGTCGTGCGCTCCCACCCTGCGGTTAGGCTTTACTTCAAATCTGCCTTCGTTCCCCTCATCTGCTTCGCATCTCAGCCCTCTTGGTGAAGCCCGCTTTTGGGAATTTCCATTAGTCGTCTTCCTCACACGCATTGACACCATCGCTCTTTCAATGCGAATCATCTTGTAAGGCGCATTTCACAGAAGAACTACTTTCCCCTTGCCCCGTTACAACCAATGGCAGGGCCAATCCAGCTGGGAGATGTCATCAACTTCAGCAAGCTCGCGTGGGACGTATACAAGTTTGGTTGGGATAACGACTTTAACGCTAGTGAGTTCCTCGGCGCAATGGATACCACTTTCTGGGGCTGCCACTCTCATCGCCATATCATTCTCTTCATGTAGAGATGTATTTGAGGATATGTATCTGGTATTTCCTTGGAGAGTGTTGGCGCCCTTGGAACACAAGCCATAGCTCAACTCAAGGAAGCCTGTAAATCCAGAAGTCAGCACTGACTTACGGTGATCGCAGCCCGACAGTACGCAGAGTTCGGTCGCGATATTAGGGGATTGGCCGAGAACCTCGATATTCTCGGCCGCGTAGTAGACAAAGCCGGCCAGTCATTTCACCAGGAAACGGCGTTCAAACTTGAGCCATTGCGTTGGGATCGTTCGTCGCTCAACGAGATCATAGGCGACTATCACGAGACTCTGAGAGAATGTTGCACTCTGATAGAGAATAACCATCGCTACCGCCTCAGCAGCGGCCCAATGAGAAACATCGAATGGAATGTTCTCGTAGCGCCGGCGGCAGATCGTCTGCGAGCGCGCATAGCCTTGCATAATTCCAAAGTTCTTCACGTGCTGAAGCCGTTTGAAATGTCAGTTCTACCTGATGCCAGCCGTTCAGAGCACTGACAGAGCCAGTGACCTTCTTTGTCGGATCCATGAAGACCTCGCCGGACGTATGAGTGCAATGCACCTTGACTTACGTCGCTTCATGGGGGTTCTCGTGCCTGATATGGAACAGGCCCTCGCTCAACAGGTTCAGCGGGAATATTTTCAGTCTGAGGTGCCTCCAGATATCGAGGATGGATTTCAGCGAGCGTGGGTGGCTGACAGACCGAATGACGCTTTCGAACCAAGTCTCCAGGAGATTGCGGATGCTTTCGTTATTCATTACCACAAGTCCACCATCGAGTTTACTGCCGGTATCCTGGTGGAGAATAGGGTTCCCGAGTTGGGGCAATATATCAGCCTTTTGAAGTGTGTCTGGCTGATGAGACGGATTCGCGGTTCGACCGAATTCGCTCAGCAGGGCCAGACCTTATCCCATTGGCCCTCTTACATCCAGGAGCTAGAAGACGTAAGTCGAGTCTTCAGTCTCATGTTACCTTGGATAGTACTGATATGTGCTAGGGTCTTGCGTCGCAATGCGATCGATTCAAGCAAGAGCTCATGCCACCAAGTCTAGCAGGTTTAACACCTGAGATGTTTGACATATGGCCCGAGAAAGAGCTTGCTCAGCTCGTGGACGTGGTGACGAGGGATGCTCTCATGGAAGAGGTCATGGATACGTAAGTTCTGTCCTAAGATCAGGCCCTGACGCAATGTGGGTGGTAACTAATATCAGTTTCGCGCCAGACCATTACAGGGTGCCACTTCCAACGTTGAGAGGAAGCTTCAGCTTCTTCGCCGAATGGGCGCCGATGGTAAGCGCTTCAGGATAAACATATCAGGCGTTGAGTTAGGGGGTTCGAACAGGAATGCACGTCGTCAAGGCATGGATGCCCCAGCCAGATGGTATCGTCCAGCTGTTAACAATCAATAGCCGAGACCATCGATTTCGACATCACGACTGTCATACTAAACCCCCTTTATGCAGTGCCATCTAACTCTTTCGGCGCATGGGACATGATATTGCGCAAGGATGAACGGATTGCCAAGCTGGCTTTTACGCAGTTGAAAGATGCTGCCAAGTTCCAACAAGCTGTGACTGGTTTCAAGGCGTTTGATAGTTATAGCCAGTAAGTATCATGAACCCATACACTGAAGGCTACCAATAGCTTACAACACCGATAGATACAAGGCCATGGTGAGCTTCGTTGTGTCTGGGAGAGGAGATCCGATAGTCGAGGGAGCATGCGTGCAGTTGTGGGTTCCAAAGCAACTTGATGGACAGCTCGTTACGAACAACGAGGCGACGCTCGAGCAGAGCACGTCACCATCACAGCCAGGGGCATTTTCACCGTCTAACACAACATCAAGACAGAGTACCCTCCGCAGCGTATGGAACACCGCAAACCCATTCACCACCAGCCCTACCGAGACTGGGTCTATGTGGGGTAACAGCGGTCCACCGGCTGTAGGCGCATCATGGAGTCGTTCGATGCCATCACCGCCAACAATCACCGGCCCGTTTGCAGTTCGGTCTCCCATGATGATACCGAGACGGCCAGTGAGATTGGGTAGCACGCAAACAGCATCACCACCCAGTGCTAATCGGCAGGCAACGTTATCAACATCACCTGCGAGCCCTCGGTCTTCATCTCTGCTTCCGAATTCATGGCAGTCAAGAGCACCATCCGTGTCAACAGTCAACAGCCGGCCTGACCGGACCTTTAGCGTCTCAAGCAACCACTCGGCGACGACATCACCGTCGAATAATACTTCGAGTGGAAGCGACGCGCATACCGTGACTGTAACGATAGGGGGACACACGACTGGGACTGTCCATAGACGCCCTCCCAAGCCAATGCTGGTGCTTTTCACGCAGAATTTGCAGACAGGAAAGCGAGCGTTGGTAACCATCGATATTGACGAAGACACCGATGTCAACCCAGACCGGTGCAACTGCCGCCGGTCAGGAAGAGACGGATCGTCGTGTCAGATTGCTGCCATTGAGCAGAACCGAGGCAACACCGAGCTATCGGTGCGAAGATACGAAAGCCGAGACGACGACATGGACTGGAATCTGGCCAAGTTGGCACTGGGGCGGCGAGGGGAGAAGGAGTATGCTGCTGCTGTGTGGAAGGATGTCCGGCGAATCAGCATCATGTTCCCGACTTCCCAAGACAGGGCAAAGTTCGGAGGCACGCCAAATGTATGCCAGTGCAGCGCGAAGACAGAAACCGAACTGAGCAAGTGTCTCAAGGATAAACACAAGGGGCTGCTGGGGTTTGTCCGGGAATCTGGCCGGCAGCAGTTGAACGAATATCATCGGGTGCGATTCGAATCGCAGCAGGATGTGGTTCGTGGAATGAGAGACGACTATCGATGACAGCTGCTGGAAAAGGGTAATGTGGTTGAGCTGTACATATCCGACAGAATTGAGGAGGTGCCAAAGTTAGGTACTTTATCCCGGCATCTTGGGATTGCGATTTAGTTCTATTGGTGTTATGGCGTCGACGGTAATGATGAAGCGAATGATGGGCCTGCATGTTTCTAGTCGAATGAGTAAGATGAGGGGGATCTAGAAGAGAATATTCGCCAAGCCATAGAGAGAAAAAGTAGGACAGAGGGCACCTCGTGGTGTCGTATCTTGAGGAGATGATTGGGAGGCGATTACGGAGTAAGCTGGAACCATCTCCATCTTTCGTCAACGACTTGTATTGGATAGGTTCACGCGCGTTTGAAAGAGTGGCCTTTCCAGTCAGATGTCTCATTCAGTTTGCTAGCTAATTATCCCTTCAACTTACTTGATCAAAATAAGCCGAATCAAGTTTTTTGTTATCGAAGGCGACGGTTTCGTAAAGTCGGGTAGGTAATGGATCAGGAGAGCCGGGAAGCAGTGATGGTCCAGCTTTCCGAACCGGAGATAACCTCAGACTCACTGGTGAGCTTCCTTAGGTCTCTTCGGCGAGACCCTTTATGGGGGCTCTCCCTTGCTATCGGAGCCCGCCGATGGCAGACAGAAGCTCTCTGGTGTCCTTGCTGTTTCTAGCAGCGAGCGACGCGTTTATTGCAATGCTTCATCCCGCCCAGCCGTGCCGAGGAGCTGCATCTCCGAGTCTCGGCAGCAGGCTAAGCCAATGAGGTAGACGCTGTGTCGCGGGTGTTGACGCCTCTATCTCCCGGGATTCTCCCCTTGACTCGATTGGGGTGCTTTCTTATCTCTACGGAGACTTGGTGTGCGCTTCTCTGGGGTGCCTGGATGGCCTGGTCAGCTCTTATCTTTACGCCAGTCCGGATCTAAGCAGTTGGTTTGCTTCTTTGGGGCCCTTGGGGGCCGGCTCTGGATTGGCATCTGCCAAAAATTGTGTCGCGCGGAGTAATGTCTGCCCATGACCTTTCGGTGGGCAGAGGTCAAGCCTGGGTGAGAGGTATCAGACGATGACTGTGAAGCTGAGGCAAAGCAGCATCGTGTGGTTCCTGACGTGTTGAAGAGTCTGAAGTTGAAGATGATGAATTGACACTATCCATAGACCAGGGGAAAGACCGTTATCCGCGCACGAACCATCTCCAACTTTACCCATGAACGACTCTTGTCAAGGTACACCCAAGTTGCCAATTTCTCAATGGCATGATGATCTTCTCTACAGCACCACACGATCGTGTTTGTCCCGCCACCATTTGAAGTCAAGAAAAATGAGCCGTAAAACCGGCAACTTGATCTGGCCGGCGGCGAGCAGCGGCCATACCATTACGTCGGGGAAGTTCGCGGCAGGATGGAACCTACAGATTTCATCAGCCGCCGAGAAAGATGGATAATTAATGAGACACTAACAACTACCTACGCTGAGAGCCTGAGAGCCGGGACCCCCGCGGAGATCACACAAGGCGAGCCGCTGGCAGTTGAGCTGATCCATCATCCCGCTCTCTGGCGCCGCATGTCGCACTTCGCACTTCGCAGCTCGCCGCATCTCTATATTACTCTGTAGCTCGATTTCCCCAGGCCCATGTAGGACGTGCCCGGACGAACACTCAAAGAATGAAGGCGGGATTCTCCTGGTGTGCCACGCGGGAGCGATGCCGGGGAGTTCCCCCACACTCAGGCCCTCCCACACCCCCCAAAGAAGTGGTCGACGTTGGTTCTGGATACTTTGCAGTAGCGCCATTGCTGCTGCTGGGTCGCTGTATCAGGCATGATGGAACATGTCACTTAGCAAGATACTAAGTTGCGTTCTAGTTATTTGCTCTCTGACTGTCTCTCAAGACTTGGCATGTCATCTACTTCATGACGAGCTGTGAGTTCAGTAGCAGATGAATGTATCTCCAGGCTCTCTTTCTCTCTCGCCACCCCTTGTTACTGGCAACCCACGTTCTCTCCCTCCAAGGTTCAAACCCCCATTCTTCCAACTCCAGGCCAATGTCTGGAAACAGCCGGTGTTACTCTGGACTCGACCGTCAATCTTCTGCTCGCCCGGCACCCCGTCCGAGCACGGCACCCTCTTGAGTCTCTCAGCTACGCAGCTACGCACCCTACACCAGAACCGGGCCCGCTCCTCTGGGGATACACATTTTTTTTACTATCGCTAGCCATTCACATCGTTCCGAGCCGCTTATCCCACTGATAGCGGCTGAAGCTAATTGCTCGATACCATCAACTAAAAGGATCTCACCCATGCAACAATGATCGAGTCAGATTGATATATAAAGAGAGATCCACAACCGTGCCTTTGGATGGTGATTTCGTGGATACCGTCGGGTCAAATTCTTCTTGCCTTGCCTTGCCTTGCCTTGTCTGGTCTTGCCTGCATTCTCGACGAGTCTAACTCCTCTTCTAATCGTAAACCCGACGTGATCTTGGTTAATCACTGTCACCGCCAGCACTAAGTACCAATTGCACGACGCAAAACGACGGCGACATCATGGATGAAGATCAGGGCCCAAGCCAAATCGTCCCCGGGACAGCTCCCAAGCGGACAATGGGAGACCGCCTTCGCAGCACCAAGAACAGATTCTTCACCAAGGACGGCCTGATTGGCGACTACGACTATGCTTTCCTCTTTACCCCGAACTTGCCATTCATGAGGAAGAGTCGCAAAGCCGCTCCCTTCTTTGGCTTAAACGACCGGATGCCTACGCTCTTGGCCCTGTTGCTAGGATTCCAGCATGCCCTTGCCATGCTGGCCGGAATCATCACGCCGCCTATCCTGCTGAGCGGCGCTGCAGGTGCTAATCTCACTGGGGAGATGCAACAATATCTTGTCTCAACAGCTTTGATTGTCTCCGGCTTGTTGTCCATGATTCAAATCACCAGATTCCACATCCTGAAGACTCCGTAAGAAGAAGAAATGCCCCCCTGCTGTAAGGCATTCGAACTTACATCTGCATGTAGCTATTATATCGGAACTGGCTTGATCTCCGTAGTCGGTATCTCTTTTGCAATTATCCCGGTGGCTCAGGGAGCCCTCTCTCAAATGTATGCCAACGGATTCTGCCCGATGGATGGCGAGGGAAACAAGCTCCCGTGCCCTGACGGATACGGCGGTGAGTCTGACTCACCTTCTAGCACCACTTCCTCAACTGACAGAGTGAAGCCATCATCGGCTCCAGTGCCCTTTGCGCTCTGATTGAAATTGCAATCTCCTTCATGCCGCCAAAGGTGATGCTTCGCATCTTTCCGCCCATCGTGACTGGCCCGACAGGTAGGCCCCGGCAACGTGTAAATCCGTGAGAAAAGACATCTGACGCGTGCTCAGTCATGCTCATTGGCATCCACTTGATCGAGACTGGCTTTCAGAACTGGATGGGTGGCTCCGGCCCTTGTGCCAACCCGACTTCCGACTTCTTCGCCCGGTGCCCCAACATATCTGCGCCTCATGCTCTCCCCTGGGGCTCCGCCGAGTACTTGGGCTTGGGTTTCTCCGTCTTCGTGACCATCATTCTCTGTGAACGATTTGGCGCGCCCATCATGAAGTCGACATCTGTTGTTATTGGCCTCCTCGTCGGTGAGTAGCAATCTTGCGTCTCTCGTCATGCCCGTATGCTCTGTTGCTGACCTGCTCCTAGGATGCATCATCGCCGCTGCGACTGGTTACTTTGACCGCTCCGGAATCGACAGTGCCCCTGCTGCCTCTTTCATCTGGGTGCACACCTTCAAACTCACCCTTTACGGGCCGCTCATCTTGTAAGCCTCAGACTCGGAGTCATTAGCGAGCATATGAAAACTGAAGCTAAACTCGTCGACAGGCCTCTGTTAGCCGTCTATATCATCTGCGCCACCGAGGCCATTGGTGACATTACTGCTACCTGTGATGTCTCTCGCCTTGAGGTTGAGGGCCGTCTTTTCGAATCCCGTATCCAGGGAGGCGTCCTCGCTGATGGCATCAACGGCGTTCTTGCGGCTCTAATGACCATCACTCCTATGACAACCGTAAGCTGATGGAGTCTGCCCATTTCTGAACAACTTGAAGCTGACTGAGGAAAGTTTGCTCAAAACAACGGAGTCATCGCTCTCACCCGCTGTGCTAACCGCAGCGCCGGCTACTGCTGGTATGTTTTCGAAATCCAGTTCTCAAGAACCTCCCGACTAACAGTGGATTAGTTGCTTCTTCCTCATCATCATGGGCATCTTTGCCAAATTCGCAGCATCGCTCGTCGCCATCCCTTCCTCCGTGCTTGGAGGTATGACCTCGTTCCTTTTCACGGCTGTCGCCGTCTCCGGTATGGCCATCATCACAAAGGGTGTGCCTTTCAACCGACGAAACCGCTTTATCCTGACCGCGGGTCTCACACTCGGCTATGGTGCTACCCTCGTTCCTACGTATTTTGACAACGTCTTCACGTATGCGGGTGACAACCGCGGCCTGAGGGGTTTCCTCGACGCCATTGTACTCATCATGGAGACGGGCTTCGCTATCACGGCCTTCGTCTGCATGTTCCTAAACTTTGTGCTCGACGAGGAGATCGAGGACACGGAGGGTCATGATGTTATCCCCACCACTGGCATCGTTACTCCAAAGGACGTCAACGGCGGGGAGAGTGCGCGTGGAGCCGATTCGGAGGACATTCAGCCCATTGGACACAACACCACCGGCAAGCGTGATGAGAAGCTGTCTTGAGGCTGAGGATTGATTGTGTTGATCCAATGGCTTGGATGGCTGTGCAATATTACATTAAAAGCTGAGGGTTTTGTTTGTTTTAATGTGTTTTTGGTCATGTATGAAGTATGAATACCCGCTCTCACTCTCTCGAATTCATTCTGAGCGATTGTTATGCAAGTAGAGTATCTTACCAGACCGGGACTTTACGGTTCTCCTTTCTTGACGTCTGACTCCTACCACTCGACACTCGGTATGGGCGAGATGATTGCGCTTTAAAGAGTTCAGCACCATAGGACATCAAGGTAGATAAGTGACAACCGAACTGACGCCACAGAAAGCTACGCTTCGGATACCTGACACCTCATGCAAATGCTGCATTGTCGCCTCAACAACGCCACACTAGGTGATTTCGGTTAACAATTGGCCTCCCTTTGCACAGGCGGAATAGCAACATCGAGGGTCGATAAGAAGCCCGACGGCAATTGGTCACGCGAATCCCACTCTGGTGCGTCTACCCCCTGCGCTGTTTATCGAGTGCCTGGCATCCCTCCATGTCGCCTCGTTATCTGCCTTTCTGCAAAGGACCAGACCATCAGGCTTACTTGGTCGACTTTCTTGCCCAAGATAGTCGTTTGTGAACATGGTTGAATAACCAACCCCGACCAAGTACTCGTTACTGACATGGCCATGTTCTCTTTGGGCTGCAGGATGCGGAGCTGGCCGGAGCGAATCCCGCAGATGCAGGTCGTATAGAGGAAGAAAGGTCACATCCGTAGATGGGTTGCTTTGCATAAAGCCGGATGCTTTCGGACTACATAGACGCGGCCATGTCTCACTCCTCAGAGAGGCTTGTTGTTCTGCAATTGTGCACCCACAAGGTTGTTAGCACACCTCGATTTTCTCAGAAGGCCGTGTTTGACCACAACTTCATTCGAGTATTGAGAGGGCGAAGGCATCTTTGGTCTGCGTGAGGACTCGAACAGCTTCAACGTCAAGATGAGGGGCATAAATATGCAGGAAGCGAGACGGCGAATTACGTCAATAGAGGCATGGGAGCTTCCCAAGCACCCCAGCGCCATTGCGCCAGAAGGCGTACGAACCAACCCGGACATGGACCCTGTACCGGTGCCGATGCGAACTTGGTCACTGTGGACTATCCTGGCGTACTGGAGTACCGACCTTATGAACCTCTCAACTCTACAGACCGCCGGATCTATACTTGCCGTCGGACTCAGCTGGCGAGAGGCGATTCCCATCATGTTCGTCGGAACAACGTGTATCGCAATAGCAATGGTCCTCAATGGAGCTATAGGAAGTCGTCTACATGTCCCCTTTAGTGTCATTGCCACGGGTAGCTTTGGGTTCTACTTAAGGTAGGTACTTCTGGTTGAAGCACAGTAGACTTGATTGATTCAGCAGTGTACTCATTGCTTAGATTTGAAGCTGACTTTCATTTCAGATACTTTGCTATTGTCAGCAGAGCCATCCTTGCTATGTTCTGGCTGGGTGTTCAGGTATTGATTCGTACGCATCACTTCGCCTGACTTCAATGCTGATATTGGTCTTCAATGATAGTGCGTCAACGGAAGTGTATGTGTGACGATCATGCTGAGTGCATGGGCTCCTTCTTACGGGCGGATTCCGAACGCCCTGGCTGAATCGGCGGGCATCACCTCCATAGGAATGTGCTCGTGAGTCTTTTCATAGAGGCACTGAATTGAATATCAGAGTACTGACAAGTGACCCAGATTCTTTCTCTTCTGGATCATTCAACTGCCATTGTTACTCATTCACCCAACTAAACTTCGACCGCTCTTCTATGTCAAGTTACTTGCTACTCCAGCTGTGGTTTTAGGGACCTTGGGATGGGCTGTTAAACAAGCCGGTGGCGGGGGTGATATTTTCAGGCTGCAACCCGAGTTCTCTCCGGGGACTTCCAAGTATGCCTGGCTATGGCTGAGCTGCATGTCGTCGGTCTCGGGACAGTGGAGCACGATGGCAATCAATATTCCGGACTTCTTGCGCTACAGCAAGTCCAGGAACGCTCAAAATGTCCAGCTCATATTTGTCCCCATCGTTTTCACCTTATGCGGAACCATGGGTATCATTACCACTTCGGCCACGAAAGTCTTCCAGGGAGACGGTGATTACCTTTGGAACCCGCTCGATATAGTCAGTCTTTGGTTGGCAAATGGCCCAGGAGGACGCTGTGCTGCCTTCTTTGGGGCGCTGGCGTGGCTTATTGCAACGATCGGCACCAATGTTACGGCGAACAGCATCAGCGCAGCCAACGACCTGACTGTCATGTTCCCGCGCTACATCAACATTAGAAGAGGAAGTATAGTCGCTGCTGTGATAGGTGCCTGGGTCATTGTACCGTGGAAGATTCTTGCCAGCGCCGCTACGTTCTTGAACTTCATGGGGGCATACGCTGTCTTCCTCGCTCCTCTAAGTGGCATCATGGCTGCTGACTTCTGGCTCGTCAAGAAACAACGATACGATCTTCCCGGTATGTCCAGTTACGATTCCCCATTTGATTCACTTTTTACTAACGCTCTGTCGTCTTCTAGATTTATACGACCCTCATGGCCGCTATAGATACATTGCAGGCTGTAACTGGAGGGCATTTATTGCTTTCATCGTGCCGGTTGCCCCCAACTTGCCTGGGATGGCCTTGGCGATCAGTGGCTACCCTGCCGTCCAGATCTCCGAGGGTGCTCAGAATCTCTACAGCTTTGATTGGCTTTTTGGGTTCGTCGTCTCAATATTTTTGTATACCACGCTGAGCTGGGTTGTTCCTGCAAAGGAGACCTTGATTGAGCAAACAATCTTGGACAGGGAGGACAGAATGGAGATCGAAGGAACGCGAGACGGTAGTGACATTGAGAACCCAAAGGTGCCGGAGAAGGTGTTGACCACAGCGGGAGATGGTCGTCACGATCCTGACTTGAGAGGTCTTTAACGGAGGCATCGGGTGAATTCGGGAGTGGAACCTGGATGTAGTGCCGACCCTGAGCGATGTACTTGACTGGCTTATTTCCCTCTTCCCGGCCTCTACGATGAGATCTGCATCTGACATACACACTTGCTTCATTGAGGCGCAGCAAGAAATTGATGAATGAAGCACATGGAGCCTATGCTTGTAGAGCGAGTAGAATGTCTCGCAATGAGGAAGGCTGTGCGGGTGTCTGAGGAGCATGTGAGACATGGGTTAATTATTTTTAATCATTTATTAGTCGTGTACGTTGCTGTGGTATCTTGGCTAGCAGTGTAGAATGAACTGCTCTCTCATCATAGTCTCCTGTTATCATTACTCCATGCCCATAGGAAAGAAACCTCAGGGCTCCTGCTCGACAATATTGTTCAATCGGGGCTGCAGCTGTGCAAGTGCGGAGCGGTCGTGCCCGTCGGGATAGGCACGGAAAACCTCTCCTCGCATCAACCTACGTGGTGCTCGTCTGCCTGTAAACAGCTCAAACTGAGCGAAACCCTGCTCGGGCAACAGATCAAGACCGTCCATAGTAACCCAACCTCGATGCGATACCCTCCTCGCTTGGTTCAAGATCGGTGTATCCAATGTCTTGTAGCCTAGTTCAACTAGACAACCGCCAGTCGGACTACCCAGCCATGCCTGTGGCGCCTCGAAGTTGGGCGCGGGGACGTCGCCAATGCTATGTGTCGGGATGCAAGAGACAATCATCGTCGGCAGTCGGAAGTCATCGGGCCATGGCTCATCCAGTTTTCGGATAATGTGGAATTTCGTTTCCACGTCCGAAGTTGCGCTGAGGAGTGGTAGGTCGTGCCGTTTCAACAAGCGTGCGAAGTGATTAACCATCTTTTCCGCATTCGTTATCGTCCGGTTGTAGACCACAATATTCTTGACTCCAAGCTGCAGCATGCTGTAGGTAGCCGCGCGAGCCATACCGCCAGCCCCGATGATGAGACCGCAGCTCGATGTTCGTACAGCGTTGGCGGGAGAGAGGCCTCTGCGAATGCACGCCCGGATGCCGATCCAGTCCGTATTTTCTCCATAGAGCGCCCTTACCGGCCCGGCGCGATTGCGGCAGTTGAAGAGCTTCTCGTCTTCTGGAATGGTGCCGTCGGGATTCAGTCGGCGAACAGGAACAAGTGTGTTGACTGCGCCTATCGCCTGCGCGTGTCGGCTCAGAGAGTGTGTGAGAGTGATGATTTCGACTTTGAAGGGCAAGCCAACACTGGCCCCCGCGAAGTAAGGATCCTCAATGAGCTCTCGTAGCCCGTTCAAGGAAGGCGTCGAGAACGGTCGGTAGAGGTGCGGAATGCCGCAAGCCTTCAAAGCGGCATTGTGCATGGCTGGTGACAAACTGTAAGAGACGTGAGCACCAAAGACGTAGATCTTCATAGGGTCGAACAGAAACGAGTTGTAGAGTGCCTGCGTCGCTTGAGCTGCTGTCAAGCATGGTTGATTAGGGTTGTAAGTAGACGATACGGGCTTCTCTGGCACAACACTGGTCAAGACGTGATTCATGGCCGCCGAGTGTCTACCGCGAGGTCCAGAGTTGTAAGCGATAAGGGGAATCTTGTGGCCGGTAGACGCCTCCACCAAGGCCTTGAGGTGGCTGATATCAAAGTTGTCCTTAATCGAGGTCACTGGCTTGACGAGCCGGACCAGATCACATCCTAGACGCCGTGCTCTATGATATTGTGACATCCAGAAAGGGTCTGACCACGGTGGGGAGTCGGCCGCAGGCGTCAAATGACCAATTATCTTTGAGCGCCTCTTCATAGAGATGATGTGCAACAGTTGGAAGTCGTTTAGGCGGAGGTCGACAGTGAGGTATTCAGGGCAGAGTCGCAGACCGTGTAGTATGTAGTCGGTGTACACCGACTCTGAGGAATCTGGAAGAACAACGTGGTACATCAAGGGTATTACGGTGCTCCTCCTTATGGACCCTATGATTCTAGCAATGTCGGCGGCTCGTTCGGAATCTAGTGACTGTGCACCAGCGATTCCGTCGAGGACGATCTCAATAGCATCTGCTCCAGTCTCAAGCTCTTCAATGGCGAGTTCATTGTTCAGCAGGCTTGAAAGAGAAACCGAGATGGCGTAAGTGAACCGTCTGTCCTCGGTAGGTATGGAGGCCAACGGGAAAGCCGACTCGATGAACGGAATGGAACCCTTGGGCATGATGAGACTGAGGAACTTCAAGAAATGCCTCTCTGCCCGCTTCAAGGTCAAGTAGGGAGCAGGTGGCTTCTGACCACCAGCGTGAGCCTCAATCCTTGCGGCGTCAGTTTCGATCCATGGGTCGGCCGTCTCGGAGACGTTGAAGAACTCAAGATTGCTGCATGTCCGGAAAATAGTGCTGCTGGCCGCCAGTAAATTCCTCGCCTTGTCTTCGTCCTCGATCTTTAGGTGCTCTTGAATGGCCTTGACGTCCCGCACGATATGGACGACGGGATGTGTGCGACAAAACTCCCTCAAGAGCGTCTGAACCCCGCGTTCCATCCAACTGCACACAATCAATGTGCTCTTGGAGTTCTGGTCGAGGAGGTCTCGAAGGACATCTGTCTGCCGGCGGTGACATTCAGCGGGGCCATGTGCCCTCTTATATGCGAAGCTGGTCAGGCCAGTGACTTGTTGGAAGGCCTTTTCGCAGTCGACGGCCCTTCGTTCCATGGCGGTCGAGGCAATGATGGCGAGCGTTGATTTGCCTGCGCCGCGAATGCCGGCAAGGACAATGGAGGCATCGGCAGGGAATGGCGGAACCTCGCCAGGAAGATGGGCCAAGGGTGTTGCTGGTCTCGTGATTGGTGTCTCTGGTCGTGAACACGCAGCCATGGAATATCTGCTGCTGCTGTTGGTCCTCGGGCTCTGGGGCTGGCTCGGCGACGCAGAGTGGCCATTGCGACCGTCGACGCGGATGAACTTTGCGGGATTCTCGAGTTGGTGGTGGTGATGGTCCTCCTCATCGCTCATGGCGGTGGCCACGTAGGACCGCTTCACTCCGGCTGTCGCCATGGCTCCTCCGCCTGCCTGGCTGTAGCAGTGCAGACGCAGGTGGGTTGAAGAGGAGGAGAGAAAAGCCCAGGATGCATGCGCACGCGCCGGTATCGAGGTGAGACTCTTAGAGAGAGGACGCGCGAATACCTTTGTCGTTGAGCTATGTTTCGTGCAAAGCCGTTCAGCTGTGGTCCAACAAGGTCAAGCTCTCTCTGGAGAAGAGTCAAGTCAGTCAGTCAGTCCACGTTGAGTCGCGCCCCAAGTCCTACGTAGTACGAACACACCGCGGCAGAATTGTTAGGTCACTATGTGGGAGCAACTTCAAAGCCGTTCCCCAGTTCCGACCCTCGGTGCTAAATTGGTGCCCCTCTCCCTTGCTCGGCGCTAAGGTGGGGTACTCTGATAAATGTTTAGCCTTGGGCTCAGAGTTAGCGAGTTACTCGACGGCGTGGGGAAAGGGGGGTGATGCTCTCCTGTGAGTTGAAGAGAGGGAAACTCGGCTGTTTGAGGTTTGCGGCGGGATAACTTGAGATGAGCGTGGAACTGAGTGGGATGTAGCCTATGAGGTCCTCGTCAATGCCCCTTGGGTCTAGGATGTGCTGGCAATTATCAGGCAGAGTCGAAGAGTTGCCATCGCCAACCCCCTGGTCTTGACTCTTAGATCTGGATACCATCTGGAGACATGGCCTCGACTCAAAGTATCTCCTTAACACCCCGCATGCCGAGTCGTCCGTACTTACCATCTCGCGACCAATTAATGCCACAGAAATGCCAGCTGACCAGCCTCTCGAGCCTGACCTTTGTCCCGACTCCCATGAGGTCCGAGATCTAGCAACAACCTTTGAGGGCGGCACCGCGAGCGTCGGCCTGTGAGGTTACCCCAGGATTTCCCCACTCTACGTTCAGCACAGCGCGCGGGAAATCTTGGAGAAGAAGCAAAGACGACGTCAATCTCATCATTGCTCGTTATTTGCTGCGGCCGCTGTTGAGTCTGATACTGCTGCTGCTACTATCCGTACTGCTGGCTGGAGTTGCTGCTTCTGCTGCTCAACCGTGTGCTATCATACCTTGCTCGTCCCGCTCGCCGCAACGCAACGCAACGCAACATCCACTCGCAAATCACAACCCCAGTCGCTGCTCACTTCGCTTCAATCATCGCCCGCAGCGTGCGCTCTTTTGCCCTCGCAGCTCCCTCGTCGACATCACCGCTTCTCGTGCCGCGCCCTCTATGCCGTCCTCCGCGGCGTGAGCCATTGGAGCTGCCCTGCCGCTTGCGGCTACGAATGAAGGATGCCATCCAAGAGAAAGGCTCAAGATGCCGAGACCAGTGTCACCTCGACCTCTGTCCCAAAGCGCCAGAGAGTATCTCGTGCATGCGACCAATGCAGAAGGCAAGCAGAATCCAGCACTATTGTTTCTCTTTCTCCCTTTCTCTTATCTTCATCGCCTTCTTGCCGAGCGTTTCCTCCAAGCGACTAGATGTCCAGGGAACTACGAGCCCAGATGTTTCTCCGTTGCAAGCGTTCCGGCGTAGATAATGCTATGTCGATTACATTCCGCGCATTGCTTGCGATATCGGCTTTGGTGCTGGTCTCGGTGCCACTGTCGCCAGCTTACTACATGTGCGAACCGAACTTGTGCTAATTATGAGGACAGTGCCCGAGAGAAGTGTGATGGCGTTCAACCTCAATGCTTCTCCTGTGTTACCCTGTCGCGGCCATGTACATACAATGTCGCACCGAAGAAGCGCGGCGTTCAGACCGGCTTGATCCGAACCCTCGAGCTTGCCCTCGTATGGCTCTTCGACCAGGTCCCTGGAACGGAAGAAAAGCTGGCCGGTCTACTCACGCAGGAGGGTGGTGGCGGCCAATCTCTCCTCCTCGACAAAGACAGCGAGGCAGGCAATCGCCTTCACAAAAGATGGAGGAGATGCCGCGTCCATAAGGATATTGACCGGCTCCTATCTGGCAAGGACGGCA